CCCCCCCCCCCCCCCCCCACCAACCACAAACACACACAGAGAAAATCAGTAGGCATATTGATTGAAACTGGAATCCTATAGGCACCACATTGAGGGCAGCAATTTCCATCACGCTATCCAAAAGGCTTCAGAGTTCCTTAAGGTTTAGGCAATATATGTACATAGTTTTGCTCGGTAATGTTTGCAACTATAACATAGAATTCTTATCTACCTTAAATTATTCCTACAGTGCTGTGAACATAACCTCCATATATTTAGGATGCCTATCTTCATTATACAACATGGGAAGAGAGAGATTACTGAAGAAGTTCGGTTAAAATACATCATGAACTAAAGAACGTAACACTTCACCATAAACAAAGTTATGAAAGATTGTAAAGCTACATTGGACTGATTTCCAGCATTCATGAATTTCCAATCTGTTCTTTCTTGAATGTTTTGTGGCAATATAGATAAATTTGTTAGTTTTCTCGTAACAGTTTTGCAGCTTGCTGCATCGTTTACATCCCAACTAATTCTGCAATCATACAAACGTTTTAATAAGGCTTGTGGTCTCTTACAGTTGAACTATAATTATAAATACCCAGAAAATGAAAACTTAGCCTTCATTGGTGTAAAATGAAGGATCAAAAGAGAAGTAACAGAAACCCAACAGTGACTCTGTTTCTTTGAGTAAATAGCTTTCAGTTTTCTCATACCTGTCGAAGTTGTCGCCTTATGACCACCCATTTTGACTTCCTTTCAGAAGACTGAGGACGCAAAGAACCCAACAGAGAGAGAAGCTTCATGAAGGATGATGAAATTGTCAAAAATGAATAAATGCACATTCATGTAAAAAGCCACTGACAAATTAATTTGAAGTCATACATCTGATACTTTCTGTCTATGCTCTGGTTTGATTCCTGTCCAAGACCATATTGCTTCCAGCAGATCCCCATGATTCAAATGAACATCACAGGATTCTGATTGGAAAAATCGAGTGACAATGTTCACTGTAGCCTGTAAGTTGGAATGCACAATATAATTTTACATCCGCCAGAGCTAAACTATACACAGTGCATAACCTATGCAAATTGATCAATGCTATGCATACATCCCAATCGAAATATTAGAAGCTTTAAAAGTTAATTTTAGATATGTAATTTAAAAAAATATTGTTTCTTGGACACGGTGAAAAGCTAACAAGCCCTCAAATACATAGGATTTTCATTCTGACCACTATGATTCAAAATGTTTCTTAAAACACTTTTAGGATTCCAGTTTTGACCACCAATTTCATGATCTGTGTTTAAGTAATTGGACCACAAAATTTGAATTTTATGAAACTTCCACATAGTTGACGTGGATAAAATTCTTACTATGTTTACATTATATATTCCTAATGTACACAAACGCATTTTTACGCAGAAGATTTAGATAATCATATTTGGAATAAATAATTGCTGTCATCACTAGCAAACATTAAAGTTCATCCCGTGTTCCTTCAGCTGGTAAAAAGAATATATTGATCTCTGCAATAAACCATATATTTTCCCTCTAATCGCAGATAGAAACAATAGAAAAATAAGAATATTTTCCAATATAACAGAAAAATGGAGATATATAGTGGAATTTATGTATCTCCAGATTTCTTTAAGGAAATACTGCAAAAAGAAGTCACCCACCAAAACCGATATGCTTTTTGAGGATCATGGAGATCAAGACAAAAATGTCAATTGTATGTGGGGATTTACTACACATGCAAAGGGTTGTGGATTAGTTTTTTTTTAAGGGTTTTCCTCAAGATGGTGGCTTGTAGGAAGTGTGGCTGCAGGGTATCCAGCTAAGCTAGAGAGAGAAGGCAAATGTGTACATGATTTACTTGTGTACATCTTTTATGTAGCACAATTTTGGGCATACTTTGTCATTCCAAAGAAATATCGTAGTTGACTGGAACATCGATTTCCAATAATACCTATATTTTCTCACAATTGGATCCATAAACGTTCTAGATGATTTCATTTTTATCACTAATTGCATTTTTCTCCATTTTTCTCCCCTGAAAGTGACATGATGGAACATACAGTTTCATGGTAAAACCTTAAACATTAGGTGAAATTCTATCTAATACTTGCATATTAATACACCTTTTATCGTAGTACTACAATCATCCTTTCTTTTTCCCGAATGATTTAGAATTTTTAGATAGAAATGAGGCTCAAATGCTTGCTATGATATGGTAGTTGATTTTCTACAGAATAACATGTTTGAGAAAAAGGAATGTGGGTTGTGCCACCTATATACATATACAAAGAAAAGAAAGAAAGGAGGAAAAAAAGAGAACGTCGCTTTGTTAGTACTACAAGGCATTGGAATTCTAATGTCAAAGCAGTTAGTCCTAATGAGTTTATAGATATCAGTTGGTACACAACGTTGAACAACCCTTAACCAATCAAAATTCCAACTCGAGAATTGGTTGTGACGAAAAGCACATAATCATCAAGTATAAAAAAGAAAAGATTCAAAACAATTGATAAAATTGAATGGAAATCAATTATAATGAACGTCATAATTCTTTTAATTGGGGGGAGGAAGGGGTTCTAGGTCTGTAGCTTGAGGGCGTGGATTTAAAACTACAGACAAGAACACAGTACCTTTATGACCTCTGCCTCTGTCAACGTAGCTGCTCCTCCAATGATATCAAAATCCCCCTACAAACAAGGGAAGTTTGTTTATACTAAGTCAATCAAAATACAATTACAAAATAAAAAAAAATAAAAAAATGCAATAAACCTGGAGGTACCGATTCGGTGTTGAATGACCAATTGCTCTTCGGTATACATATGATATTTCATAACGTTTGAAAAATGATTTCTGCGCAGGAAATAGTAAATTCTTAATCAATAGTAAAAAGGCTTCATATAACCATTTTTTCCTAAAGCCCTACAATAGGCAGCACAAATACTTCGTGTCAACTGACAATGTTTGAATACATGTAGCGACAAAAACAACAATCTAGGCCTCCAAATAATCTTGAGTCGGTTACATGAATCCATTTTTTCCACTTTACTCAACTCGTTGCTCCATCTACTGAAAATGTCAAATTAAATCAAATCTTTTTCACGTCAGGCCATCATTTTATAATCTTTTTGAACAGCATCAAGTTGTTCTTGCTATAAGGAGCTTCTTTAAGTGGCTAGCCATTTACATCTTAATTCCTTTGATTACCCTCTACTGGTGTCACTGAAACTTGCTTCGTCCTCGGTTCTAATTTTAACTATTCTGATGGCCATGCACTAAGTAGCATTTATTATCGGAGTCTAATAACAGTTCTGTACAACTTGTCTTTGAACATAAGAGTATGTGCCCATCACATTTAATCATATGTATCAAAATGCTTACAAGAAAAGAATTAAACATAGAACAAAGAAGTTGGTTTCCAAATTTAACCACAAAGTAGCAGTTAACAATCATAAAAATAGAGGTCAGTTGTTCCCTTTATTAAACTTCAAACTCGTCTCTATCACTTTTACAATTTAAGCTGTGCTCGTGCTTGATTGCTGAAGCAGTTTATCGATTTAAGCATTTAAAATTTATCGAGCACATCAATTTTACGAGTCATTGGCAAGTCCACAAAGCCATGAATTCTAGTATTCCACATTCTTAATATTTTTAATTAAGAAACACATGTTAATAATTTCACTAAAAGTGAGAACTATAAAAATCATTTAACGTAAGTTGTGCTCGAGATGTATGGTAACATTGAACAACTAAAGCTGACGACACCTTCAGCTGTTCATCTGGCCAATACTGCAACTTGAGCTAAATTACTATTATACAGCAAGTCCTCAAAAGGGAAGTAGTATCCTGCCTCTCAGGTATTGAAACTAAAGGTGTAATTTAAACTGACCACAGAAGAACAAACGCTATATTACAACACTTTAAGCACTTGGCAATAGTTGGGATTTATGCTCTAAGAATATGTGATAGCAAGGCATTAAGCACTTGGCAATTTTTAGGCTATATGCTTCCATAATGTGCGATTGAACTTTGAAAGAACATAATATTCCCCTAAATCAATACCTGGTTTGTAATAGCCCATTTGACGAATGGAAAGCGTAGCTCGTGGCAAAGCTCGACCATATCTCCTCCAGGAGTCAATAGCTTGACAGTATTTCTTAACAAAGAAACAGAGTAAGCAGACAGCTCAAACATGTTAACTTAAAATGCACGTCAGCCAAAATAGGTAAAATGAAAAAATAATAATAGCAAGAGAGTAAAAGGAAGTTAATTCAAAGTGAAACCTGTTAAGCTGCAGACGTTCATCCAGCATTCTCATTGGTATGATCTCCAAATGTTTTGCACAATGCTGTCGAAAAACTTCCGTAGCAACCTCAACAACCTGATCACGATTAGCAGTGCAAAGATCCGAGAAAAGAATAGATGAAGTATCCTGCCCAACCAATTTTGGTCTTCCAACACTCTCATGAATGCCCTTTGCGCCTAACATATCCTCATCAAAAATAGCATTCACAATTTTTTCATAAATACTGGTGTCTTCTGAACTATGAATTGTTCGTAACATATCTGCATGTACAAAAAAAAAATTACTCAAATCATGGGATTAAACTATCAGTACTAGGCATCTCTTGCACATTACATGCATTAGGGAGAATGATACTTCCACCATGGTCACACTAAACACAGTTGATCAGGAATGAGCTCACCAAGTATCAAGGAATTAGAGACTTATGTTGAGCTACCAAATAGATGGGGGATGTACAAAAAAATAGAGCCAAACATGAATGGTTCTCAATCTGTCTTTTGCACATCAGGAAAGAGCATCTAACAGTAGCACCTAACACTATCTTTCATGTATCATGGATGAATAGCTGCTTTCATCACAAAGAGGCCTTACACTTTGAATAGAACTGGCTAAAGTGAAAAGAAGAGAAACTTTATTGAAGGTGAGGAAGGAAGTAAGATATTTACGTGTGTATATACCCAAACCATGTATAGTCCACGATCCAATTTTAAGAAAATGATATCAGAAGTTCAAAATAAAAATCTCAATTACTTACTGTCTAACATATCATACTCCATTCTAGGAGGGAAAGCATGTTGGAGAAGCTCTGTGGCTGACGGACGGTCTGATGGACTTGCAGACATCAAGCGCCGTAACAAGGATGCCTGTTCTGGAAATTCAGCAACCCAGTTAGCAGGAAGCTCTCCCTTTTGTTTCAGATCTGAAAGGACAACATGTCTCTCCATGGCTGTGTCAAATGGATGCCACAGCTCAAAGAAAACAACTGCTAAGCTGTACATGTCGGCCTACAAAACATTATAGCATAATAAGAGAATACGTTAGCTGCAGTTGCCATGGAAACCCAGTAGTGCACTTGAATCCATAAAAGAATGACCTTCTCATCAATCTTTGGCCACCCTTGCTCTATTTCTGGTGCAGTATAGAAATAGGTGCCAACTCGGCCAGTTCTATCAACTGAGACTCCAACCATTTCTCCAGCATCTGCATCCTGGTCCAGCTGCTCCAGTTTCAAGAACTTGGCTGAAAATGAAAAAGAAAACCCAAAAATAAGTTATTGTTCACTATCCTCAGGAAAATTGAGACAACAATCTAAAATATTTACCAAATTTTGAGGTTTAAATTATAGTTAGAATAATATTTCAAATAAAGTGACAAAATCGTTTTGACCAAAAGAAATGAGATTGTGATATCTTATAAATCACTATATTTTGCAAAATGGTTTCCAAAATCACGTCCCATCTCATCCATATGAGGTGTAGCTGCATTTCTTGTCAGACATCTCAATCTTGCCTTCACCACATGAAAAAATACAAAGTTTACTTAAAGAGTATGTTCTCTTTATCAAGGTAATTTTGCAGAGAGGATGAGTCACAAAACCCCCACCTCCCTGTAACTGAAATATAAAGAAAGATCTCCATGTTGAAAACCTTCATTTGTAACATTCAAGACCAATTATACTGCATAACTATTCTGCCAAACATAAAAACTTTGGTGGATCAGTTAATTAGTTCTATAAAAGTTTGTAAGGTGTCAAATCTGTTCACACTATCATCTTTAAAGACTTGATGACTTTCAAACATTCCACATGGATTTGGTACTTCAAAATAAGATCGGGATTCTCTTTTGATGAACTTATATTAAAGCAACATTTAGAAGAGAGATGACAAAATGGCAAGAATCTTTTCCCCCACAAGGAAATAAAATAGACTCACAATAAAGCAGTTCAATAGACAACAAGTTGAACAAAAGTCATCTTACCAAGACCAAAATCCCCAATCTTAATATCATTACGAGCACCAAAAAAGATGTTGTTGGGAGTCAAATCGCGATGAATGATTCCCTGTCCATGTATGTGTGCCAGCCCTTCTACAATTTGACGAAAGAGATGCCATGCGAGTTCTTTGTCAAGATTATTATAGGATTCAAACATTTGCCTCAAAGTCCTTCACACAATTAGATTAACTAAATAAGTCAACAACAAACATCAACACATATGTTGAAGCAGTATGAAATAGTATAGCCCAATAGCAGTATAAAATATAGTTAGCATATTTAAATATGATGAGATGCATGACTACAGATGTTAATAGTTATAAATTGAAACAGGCAGTCCCTAATATACTTTTTTATCTACTAGAACCAGAACACTAAAAAGATATAATACAAACAGTGACGCATCTTTCCGTTTTATCTACATTAGAGTACCAACTAAAATACCAGATAAATTTTGTTATTCCAACTACCACATTTTCTTGAGAAGATTTCATAACAAAAGATCCCCAACAACAGAGGCATTCCGAGAAATGGAAAATAGTCTCGTGTACAATTTTAATGCACTGGTGCAATGCAAAAACCGGCAGTCTTGAGTTCCAAATATCTTCAGACACGACACAACCTTCTATATAAAACTGAGAAAATTACTAAAGAATTACTCAAGAGAATTGCATTTTCAGATTCATTTATATCAAAACAAAACAAGTAATTAGAAACACACGAACGTATATAATTTAATCAGAAGGCATTTTCAATTTTTCTTTCTAATTATATGGGAAAAGGAGTAAGAGGTAGATGAAGTAGATAATGAAGTTGACCTTGGGCAATATTCCATTTGAATATAGAGATAAGTAGAGTCAAGTTTATTCTCATGTCCAAATTCTGATGAACTTGTGTTATTGAAGCTGAAACTAGAGCTCCCGCCAGTTTTGGAACCCCAAGAGACATCACCATGGCTTCCAACAATTCCTGTCTCAAACCATGCCTGAAATATATAAAATATTACATTACGTCACCACAATTAATCATTAGAGGAAGGCCATGAAACATAAGAAATCTTCATTGAAGAGATTTTGATGCACCAAAATCAGGGTGAGGGTTGATAACATTATTCATAATTTTTTGGGTAAATTATAATGACTATAAAGAGCCCCCTAACAACCAAAAAGAACCATATCAAGTTAAAAATATTTATATCCATTGAGCATAATACCTGGTAGTAACGTACAACATGTTGGTGTTGCAACCGAGAAAGTGTAGCTACTTCCCTAATAATCAAAAAATTATAAAGTTCAAAACAAATTTCTACAGAAAATACTTGAGGGAATGAGAAACAAGACCACAGATAAGACGAACATGCAATGCCAACATGTAAAAATAGACAAGTTTCGAATACAAAAAAAAAAGGATCCTGATGGTGATTTCATGGGACTGCGAAATAGGGAAACTAAGAAAAGAAAACTATTGGTGGCATCTATGTATTAGATATTAAATCTGCAGAGAGACGAAGTTATACAGCAATTCAAAAACAGCAGCAGTAATAGAAGAATTATTTCTTATAGAAAAATCAGCAACAGGTTATTTTTCCATAGAAACAGAGGTTCTATCAAAAATTAAAATTATTGAAGGGTAGTCTTACACGTGGCTTCAAGTAAGCTATTCATAGGGTGGACAAACTACAAATCAATAGATTGCTAGCTATAATACAGAT